ATGTGGTGCTGGGGGATTGAACCATGGTCCCTGTGCTTTGCTAAGCTTGTTCTAAGTAGGTGCTTTAGACCACTGAGCCATCTCTCCAGCAGTGAGATTCTATCTCAAAAAGGTTTGAGGATGTAGCTCAGTGAATCTCTAGTACCATCACACAAAACAATACAACAAAGTCTAGGAGGTCTAATATCTGAATAATAGGGGTTATAGAGAAAACCATCAACACAGAGAAGGAAATAAGGCACAAATTTAAGAATATTTAATGGAACTGAAAGATAGTTTTCATATTGAAAGAATCCACTGAACATTCAGTACAAGGGATGCACCTGGCTCACCTATGGCATCTTGAGATTTCAGGGTACTGAAAACAAAGAGAAGACCCGGTGAGCTTCCAGGGAGGAAAGGGCAAGTCAGAAAGAACCCGAACCGCTTGGGCCTCTCAGCAGTACCAACAGCTACAGGCAGTGAGGCAATCTTTTTTTAAATTTTTTTTTCGGAACCAGGGATTGACTTCTGGCCCTTGCACTTGCCAGGCAAGCACTTATTCTACTATCTCCCCGGCCCCAGTCTTTTCAACATTCTGCAGGAAAATAAATTCCAAGGTAGAATTCTTTGTCTAGTCAAATTGTAAATCAAGGAAGGATAGGACTGGCCAAATAGCTTAGCAGATTAAAGTGCATGCAAGCAGGCACAGGGGCTGGGGGTTTGATCCCTGGGCCTGCTGTGTCAGCCCCACCCCCGGGCGCGCTGAGACAGCTATTGGGACTGGGCGTGGTGGCATGCACCTGTAATCCCAGCTTTTAGGAGGTTGTAAACAGGCAGATCACTGTGAGTCCGATCTAGTAGTGAGACCCTGAACATCCTGTAGACCCTTCCCTAGAATACCAAAAAAAAAAAAAAAAAGGTAGAATAAGGATACAGGCTTTGAGTCTCCAAACATTTGCTTCCCAAGCACTCTTTCTCAGGAAGCTGCTGGAAGATGTGCTCTGCCAAAACAAAAGAATAACCAAAACAGGTGAAAACATGGGCTCCAGGGAAGAAGTGCCTGTAGAGGAGAGACATGGGAGGCTCCTCTTGACGGCAGGAGGAGGAAGGGCCAGCCCAGACTAGAGCAGTTCAGGAGACTCTGGAGAGACATTGCTGGTGGCTTCAATCGATAGGATATATGTTGCCTCTCTACTACTTGAAATGAGATTTAACACATTCACATTGGGCGCTTGTCACACCTGACAGTACTGTGCCTGCGACCTGTTAGGACCATTGGTGATACTAGCTGGTGGGAGCGTGTTAGATAGATGGTGAAGAGTCTGGGAGTTGAATTAGTTGGAAGAATTATACATAAAAATCTAGGCAAATGAAAGGAAAAGACCATTATTAACTCCAGGAAAAACAAAGTTATAAGAGAAAGGGGGAAAATCAGAGTTTAGGGGCTGGGGAGATGATGGCTCAGTAGAATAAACACTTGCCTGGCAAGTGCAAGGACCTGAGTTCAATCCACCATTCTGCCAAAAAAAGAAAAAAATCAGTTTACCATTTGGTTTAGCTTTTTTTTTGGTTTAGCTTTGATAATATTTATCCAAAATGGTGTACATATTGGTGACCAACGTTAGTGTTTTAACTCCTGGAAGAATGGGGGGTGAGAAGTGGATAGTTGTGGTGGGATTCTGGTAGGAAACAGAACTAAACTCTTACCTTTTTTTTTTTTTTTAAAGGTCTTACTTATTTGGTACAGGGTCTTACTATGCAGCTCGGACTCATAGTGATCCTCCTGTCTCAGCCTCCCCAGCATTGGGGTTATAGGTGTGCGCCACCATGCCGTTTCAGTCACCATCTTGGCATAGGACTGCCACAGCATGCAGTGCTGGAATCCACCAGGTCCTTGCACTTGCCAGGCAGGGGCTTAGACCACCGAGCTCTCTCCCCAGCCCCTAAAAATTCTCATGTTTCTTAGGGTAGTAGATAGTGATCAAAGATGAAGAAAATCCCATGCAGTATAAGAGCCATTACATGGTGTAATCACCAAAATCATCAGCTACAAGACATTAATGTGCTTAGCTCAGGTAGGGCAGAACGGAGGTGGGTTTGTGGCATTCTTGCCATTTACTAAGGGGGTGGCCTTCAGCAGTTTATTTAACTGCTGTACAAACGTTTTCTCATCTGAAACATCAGGACAGTACTCACTTCACAGATGTACTGTAAGAATGTGAAGCCATGCACATGGCATACCCTGTAATCCTAGCACTTGGGAGACTGAGGCAGGTGGATTACTGAGAGTTCAGGACCAGCATAGGCTACATAGTTCAAGACCAGCGAGATCTGTGTAGCAAGACTGTGTTTCAAAGAAAGCAAAAAGTGAAGAAGAAATAATGTAATATTTTTAAGTATACATAGCATAGTACATACTACATTCAGGCTGTTTATTTGAGGAGGCTGCTTTTCCAGTGTAGTGTGGACAATTAAACCAGCGCCCTCATGTAATCTCAGCACTCAGGAGGCAGAGACAGCAGGATTCTTGCAAGTTCAAGACCAGCGTGGGCTACAAAGTGAACTCATGGCCAGCTTGAACTGCAGAGTGAGGCCGTGTCTCAAAAGATAAATAAGGAGCTGGGGAGATAGCTCAGTAGAATATAACGCTTGCCTGGCAAGCACAAGGTCCTGAGTTCAATCCCCAGTTCTGAAAAAAAAAAAGATAAATAAATGAAACTAATTAATAAACAACCAGGAATCACTAGGCATGGAGGCACAGATCTATAATCCCAGCTACTGAGGAGACTTGTGAGTTGGAGCCTGTCCTGGACAATTTAGGAAGACCTTGTCTTAAAAATAAAAAGGGCCAGATATGTAGCTTAGTGTAAGAGTATGTAGCTAATGCTTATGAGGCCTTGGGTTCAGTCGGTACACAAAAAAATAAACAAAAAACCAAACAGGCATGGAGATAAGCTAACCAGGCTCTCTAGTCTGTTTAGAATAGGTGGAATAAATCCTTATTCTCCTCATGACCCCAGAACAGACTGTGACCCCAGAATGGACTGTTAGGGTGTTAGGAGTCAAGTTGAACAGTGGGCTCCAATTAAAGTCCAAGAAATTGCCCGGCCCCTATCATGACTTTCCCATCTGTATATCTTGGAAGAAGCTGAAGCAGCTCCCTTGGGCCTGCCAGGTAGCTCAGCAGACTAAAGCGCCTGCAAGCAGGTGCAGGGGCTGGAGGTTCGATCCCCAGGCCTGCCATGCCAGCCCCACCCCTGGGCACGCTGAGATGGCAGTTGAGACCAGGCATGGTGGCAGGCACCTGTAATCCCAGCTCTTGGGAGGCTGTAAACAGGCGGATCACTACGAGTCCAGTCTAGTAGTGAGACCCTGAACACCCTGTAGACCCTTCCCTAAAAAATACAGAAAAAGAAAAACAAAAACCAAACCATGTTTTAAATTTTTGTGAAACTAGAACACTTTTTTCTTTTTTGATTGGGAGTTGTTACCTAGAACAAAGCTACTAACTACCCTACCCCCGCAGAGACCCCGGAGTCCAACAGTAGTGTGTATACTTCCTTCATGAAGTCTCATCGCTGCTATGATCTGATTCCTACCAGCTCCAAATTGGTTGTATTTGATACTTCCCTGCAGGTGAGTGGAATCTTCTTTTCCCTCCCACTTCCTGGAGCTCTGGTTTGGTACTGCTCATCCCATCTCATCCCAAGGATAATGGTTTTATCCTTTTATGGGGTTAGTCTCACAATTTTTAGCAGCATACCGACCCTTACATTCCTGTCCCTGTGAAGTTCTCTATGATTATGACTTTCTTGGCTACAGGTGAAGAAAGCTTTCTTTGCTTTGGTAACTAACGGTGTACGTGCTGCCCCTTTGTGGGATAGTAAGAAGCAAAGTTTTGTGGGTAAGCAACAGCATCTAGATCACCGTGTTATTGGCATCTTGTGCTGGGCAGGGAGAGCAGCTTTGGGGAGTGCTGAGTGCTCTTGTCTTGGCCTCTAGGCATGCTGACCATCACTGATTTCATCAATATTCTGCACCGGTACTATAAGTCAGCCTTGGTAAGGAGCCTTAGCCCAAAGACCAAAGCCATGTCCCCGCCAGAGGCCCTCATTCCCATTCATTTACTTCCAGACAAGTCACAAGGGTAAGCCAAGCAAGGAGACCAGGTCTTACATTCTCTTCCTTCTTCCAGGTACAGATCTATGAGCTAGAAGAACACAAAATAGAAACTTGGAGAGGTATGTAGAGAATTCAGGGTGAAGGGATGAAGGGTGTCCTGGGAAATGCCTTTCCACAGCAGTGATCTGTGAGCCGCCCCGCTTCCCTTCAGAGGTGTACCTACAGGACTCCTTCAAGCCACTGGTCTGCATCTCTCCTAATGCCAGGTGAGTTCACTTATCCAAAGAAGAAGACAGCCTTGTCTAGCCCCAGCACTGAAAACTCCAAGGAAAGGGGCAAAAGAGAGAAGATACTCCTCCTAACACTCCCTCCCTCTCTTCCTTGCTTTTCAAGTCCTTTCTGAACATTGCTGACGCTCTTTGCTTCAGTTCTCTAAACGCACCTTATGGAGTTTACCTGTATCTGCCACCTTCTTACAGCTTGTTTGATGCTGTCTCTTCGTTAATTCGGAACAAGATCCACAGGCTGCCAGTTATTGACCCAGAATCAGGCAACACCTTGTACATCCTTACTCACAAGCGTATCCTCAAGTTCCTCAAATTGTTTGTAAGTTCTCCTCAACTCAGTTTATATTTCTTATATAGTAGGTTTGGAAAGTTCTTCAAGGATGGTTTGGGGACCTTAGAAGTTAAGCTAATGGTTCTTTTCTCAGATCACTGAGTTCCCCAAGCCAGAGTTCATGTCTAAATCTCTGGAAGAGCTACAGATTGGCACCTATGCCAATATTGCTATGGTCCGCACTACCACCCCTGTCTACGTGGCTTTGGGTATCTTTGTACAGCACCGAGTCTCCGCACTGCCAGTGGTGGATGATAAAGGTAAGCAATTAGAAAGAGGAGAGGGAGGGTTCCAGGGGCCAGGTGGCTCTGAGAACATCTGCTTTCCCCTCAGCTCAGCCTGGAGGGCAGTTCTGTGGGTGGGGAGCCTGGAAGCCAGATCCTCCCTGCTGAGCTGCCTCTGTCCCCCTAGGGCGTGTGGTGGACATCTACTCCAAGTTTGATGTTATCGTGAGTGATGTGGGGGAAGGGCTGGGAAGTAGGGATGGGCAGGGGTTGCTGAGGGTGGAAAGGGAGAAGGGAGGCTCTTCTGTGACCTAAGGTCTGGGAAAGCTCCAGGCTTTCAGATCCTATTTAAAAAGCAATTGAAGAAGCTGGCTGTGGCTTGTGGGCAAGGCTGATAGTTGCCCTAAGTGTTTCTGGTGCAGTTGGGTAGGCACTGGGGAGCTGGGGCCTGACTCCCTCGCTTCCCTGCAACCCCTTCCTCCCTCTCCCCAGAATCTGGCAGCAGAAAAGACCTACAACAACCTAGATGTGTCTGTGACCAAAGCCCTGCAGCATCGATCACACTACTTTGAGGGTGTTCTCAAGTGCTACCTGCACGAGACTCTGGAGACCATAATCAACAGGCTGGTGGAGGCAGAGGTAGGGACCAGCCTGGAGGAGTGGGGCATGGCTGGAGCAGGCAGGGTGCAGGTTACACTCTTACTGAGGCTGGCACTAAACATCCCTTCTTTCTGCTGTGTGCCAGGTTCACCGACTCGTAGTGGTGGATGAGAAGGATGTGGTCAAGGGAATTGTGTCGCTGTCTGACATCCTGCAGGCCCTGGTGCTCACTGGTGGAGAGAAGCCCTGAGCAGGGGTGGGTCGAGGCAGCTTCGGTATGTGGCCTCTCTGCCGAATGGACGCTCTGGGAAGCAGATGAAACCTTGGGAGAATTGGGCTGACACTTTTCCTGTGCAGGAACCCATACCCTCTCCCCAGAAGACAGGAGACTGGATGGAAAGGAGAAGAATGTTTGGCTTCCCCTGCCCTCACATATATACTTGAGAACTTCCAGCCTAGCCAGTCCTAGCCCTGTCCTCTTAGGCACAGCCCCCCTTTTGGGTGAAACAGGCTCTGTGCTCCACAGGCCAGTTCTGATCTCTAAGAGATCCCTAGACCTCACCCTGCTTCTGCCCTGAGATAACAGCACAACAAATCGGTCATAAAGTTATTTTTATTCCTCCTGTTCATGCTGTTTGGAAGAGGCCACATCCATTTAGTGACATTCCTTGCCCTGGTTTGAGCAGGGAGGAGGCCTCTGGATTCCTGTGCTGTGTACATATGAAGGAAGATGCTAGGTGGAGGAGGAGGGCAGAGTGGTGAGCCAAGGTTATTTTCATGGCAAATCTAATTAAATGACAACAGTTTCATTATGGCATCACAGTACTTGATTTTTACAGCTGATAGACAGTTTCTTCAGCCTTTCTACTTCATGTGGCTTCTTCAATGCATCATTGATATATACAGAGAGGGGGTGTATGCTACATATCATTCTTAGTGCTTTATTAATACAGGTTGAATGTCCTTTATGAAAAATGTTTGGAAAATGTTGTGTTTCAAAGTTTAGAACATGTCAAATTTCAGACTTTTTTTTCCCCATACTGGGGCCTTGTGCATATGATTTTAGCATGGAATTACATTCCCAACCCTCTTTTCTTAAAGGTGTTTTTTTTTTTTTTTTTGTGGTACCAGGAATTGAACTCAGGACCTTGCACTTACCAGGCAAGCACTTACTCTACTGAGCCATCTCCCCAGCCTGCCCTCTTTTCTTAATTTGAGACAGTTTTACAAAGTTGCCCAGGCTGGCCTCAGAGTTGCAATTCTCCTGCCTCAGCCTCTGGATTACCAGATATTACAGGCAATGGGCTGTCACACCTGGCCAGATTTCATAGTTTTTTATTAGAGATTTGTTAATTCATTAGTCCTGATACTACTAGATAACTATTACTATTCTAGTTTTATTTTTTTTAACATTTATTTATGGTGTGTGTGTGTGTGTGTGTGTGTGGCCAGCTCAGCCCACCAGGGGGCGGGGCTGGCTGGCATGTGGTGCTGGGGGATTGAACCGTGGTCCCTGGGCTTTGTTAAACTTGTTCTAAGTAGGTGCTTTAGACCACTGAGCCATCTCACCAGCCCATCTCTTTATTTTTCAACTGTTACCCGCTGGAGTCCTTGTAGTTTCCCTTTTTCTCGCTTTCTCCTCTGCCTGGGCCACAGGAAAACTTCCCCAGTCTCCAGAGGACAGGTGCAGGGTCCTGTTTGGGCAGAGAACACCCACCCAAAGGTGGCCTTAGGGAATGCAGGGCTGTGGTTGGATTTTGCTGGGCTGGTAGTATCTGGCTTTATAATCATTGTCCACTGCCTTTCCTCCAGGGTAAGAATAAATTGGAGAGTAGGGGGTAGGGGTCAGCAGGACCATGGCCATACCATCAGAGCCATTCCGTGTGGAAACCTTCAGCTGGGAGCTGAGTATCACCTCATTGCCTTCAGCAGCTTCAGAGCGGTGTCATGGCCTCCCTGCCTCCATCGTGCCCAAACCTTCTAATGAACTTCTAGCCACAGACAGGTTCCTACGAATGAGGCTTCTGGATGGAACATAGTGAACACAGCCAGGCACTTGTCAGAGCTGAGCTTTCCCTGCTGCACACACTAAGGGTCCTGTCTCTGTGCTTACCTCCTCCTAGCTTACCCAGCACATTCCCAAAGCTGGAGGAGGGACAGCGTGGGTGGGTGCGTGGTGGAAAGGGCAGGCGCCTCATGTCACATTCTGTCATGAGGGAGGATTTGTCCAGGAGTCGGCAGGGATTTCATAAGCTGCAGGATTCCAGTGGGGTCCAGGGTAGGTGGAGGCATCTTGAAGCAGAGCCACCCATGCGGTTGGTAGGTACAGTTCGGTAGGTACATGGAATGAAGGAGGAAGCAGAGGGGACAGGGATGGTTATGGTTTCTCTGAGGGCCCATGTGAGAGCAGAAGGTCAGGGTTTTACACTGTTTTTAGTAAGTCCTGTCCCAGCTCCACAACACTTCTGGCGCCTTAAAGGGAAGGGTCCATACCCAAAGGACTACATGTACATTTTTCCTAGCCAGTCAGTTGCAGTCTGAGGACAGAACTGAGAAAAACAAAGGATGAATTTGGGAGCTCACAGGCTTCTAATTTTACCTATCCCTCTGAGGGGAGGCAAATTATCCCTTTTTCCTGAGGAGCCATTGCCATACTGTTCCCTCTCCCTGTACCCCTCCCTTCCACTGGAGCTGCTCCCATGGTTGCCAGGCATGGTTGCTAAGTCTCTGCATGGAAGGGTTGGCGTGGGCTGTGCTGCCACTAACATTACCATGGTGAATCAGGGGACACCTGGTAGGGCTTACAGGAGCGATCTTGTGGATGCAGGCAACAACCCCCTAGACAGGATGAACCCAGAAGGTGATCTGTACTTCACACAGGGACTGCGTGAACGAGGCATTTGGTGAACTGGGCATTCCCCTACACGGGGAAATGGAGACCACTTTTATCTGCAGTTGCTAAGGGACTCCACTGCCTAGGGAGTACAGCACTCCTCCATCCTCCTCTGCTCGGGTGCAAGTGCTCCAGAAGGCTGGGCAGGGCTGTGTGGGCACAGAACAGCATAACCCCCAGTTTTGGCTTCTGGATTGGGGAGGAAGCCTGCTGGGGGGGGGCGGTTTCCACGTGTGCCCAAGGACAAGTATCTAGAATGAGAGTGGTAGAGCAGCCCCGGTGAGCAAAACAGACCTCTGCGCATCTCCATCAGCTCTGGGCTGCAGCCCTTCAAAGACAGGAGTTAAAGGTAGAAGGGTCACTTGAGTGTGGGGAGCAGCTCGCCCCCAGAGTCTGCAGAGCTTCCCAAAAGCCACCGCCTCCTCTCCTCTGCTTGGGAGCTGGTTACTCAGCTATCTCTGTACCCGAATGCTGCTGCCGCTAAAAATAGCCCCCCAGCCACAGGCCAGCCCCTCCTGCACCCCAACCCCATGGAAACAAACCAGTGAAGAGTGGCGGGTAAAGCCCTTGAGTTCCATTTTCACCATTCCTTGTTGGGAAAACAAGTCCGAGGCAGGAAGTTAGGAGTACACCCCTGGTGGACAGGCAGCCAACATGTAGGAGAATAAAGGGTTAAAAACCGGCAGGCAGGTTGAAGAAATGGGGGCAAAGGAGGGGAGCACTGTCAGCTAGGCAAGACTCGGAAGTCCTTCCCCCCCACTTCCAGCCCCTGGTGCTTGCGGGTCCCACCACGTTTGGGGGACTAGAGCAGTGGGAAGGGGTGTCCAATCCCAGGCCCCAGGGGGCGGCCGTGCTCATGGGGGAGGTAGCGCGGTGCCGTCCGCGCAGTGTCACATGCGCGGGCGCGCGCGCACACACATACACGCACACACACGCTGAGGCACACACACGTGTGCCTGGGTATATATAGTTCCCAGTCCCCGGCCCCGCCGCTCTGCAGTGGGCGCCGGCTCCCTAAGCTGGGAGGGGGCTCTCGGGGCGGGTGGGAGGGTGGGGGGCCGGGTGGGGTGGGCAGGATGCTGGATGGCCCGCTCTTCTCCGAGGGGCCCCACAGCCCCCGGGAGCTCCACGACGACGAGGAGTCTGGCAGCTGCCTTTGGGTGCAGAAGTCCAAGCTGTTGGTGATCCAAGTGAAGACTATTTCCTGTCATTATAGTCGCCGCGCTCCTTCTCGACAGCCCATGGACTTCCAAGCCAGCCACTGGGTCCGAGGGTCCCAGAGCCGCACGTGAGTGCAGGGGTGACGGGAAGTAGCGGGTGGGTGGGGAGCGGGGTCCGGACCCCTGGGGGCACCGGCAAACACTGCTGGCCCCTTTCTCTTTTCCTCACCTCCCTCCTCAGCCCGAGGGCTGGGGCCTGACTCAGGCAACCTTGTTGGGAAGGATGGGAGTGGGTGTGAGAAGGGTTGAGAGGTGAGATGGGGCAGGCGCTGCTAGCGTGCGCGCGGCGAGGTGGGGGGCAGCCGCGCTCCGACTCCACCCCTGACACGGGCGCACGTGCACGCTCGCGCACACTCACGCGTGCCCCAGCACGTGGGGGCCCCGCTCCGCGGCCCCCGGCCCCCTTCCCCCACAAACTGCTCACCTGGGTTCCTGCTCCTTGTCCCAGTTGTAGGCCGCGCCCGGGATCCCCTGAGCCGCCGCCCCGCCGGCCCTGGGCCTCCAGGGTGCTGCAGGAGGCGACCAACTGGCGGGCGGGGCTCCCGGCCGAGGTCCGAGCCCGGGAGCAAGAGAAAAGGAAAGCGGCGTCGCAGGAGCGGGAGGCCAAGGAGACAGAGCGAAAAAGGCGCAAGGCCGCTGGGCCCCGACGGAGCCCCCTGGGCCAGTCCAGCCAGGAACCCCGCAACGCCCCCCGGGCGGCCCAGCCTGCCGGGCTGCCAGCGCCCCCTCGGCCCGAGCGCTTCGGGCAGGCTACGAGAGCGCCCCGTCCACCCGCCGCGCAACCGCGCCGCGACCCAGGGCCGGTGTGGGCGGGGCCTTGGGGGGGGCGTCGCCCCGGGCCCCCCAGCTATGAGGCTCACCTGCTGCTGAGAGGCGCCGCAGGCGCTGCCCCGCGACGCCGCTGGGACCGGCCGCCACCCTACGTGGCTCCACCCTCCTACGAAGGTCCCCACAGGACCCTGGGGACAAGGCGAGGCCCAGAGCTCTCCCTGGCGACCCCGTCCTCCGCCCCAGCTCCTACCCTAGCCAGGACAGAGGCAGGGCGCGCTAAGAAGAGGCTGGATCCTCGAATCTACCGGGACGTACTCGGGGCTTGGGGTCTCCGGCAGGGGCGAGGTCTCTTAGGGGGGTCGCCCGGCTGTGCAACCGCCGGGCCGAGGCCGGAGTGTGCCAAGGGGGCCGCGGAGAGAAGCCCGGGGCTGGCTGCTGCTGCCCTCCACGGCGGCAGCGACGGCCACCCCCAAGCCAACATTCCCGGTGGCCCAAGCTCGGAGACCGCTCCGGCTGGGTGCGCACCTGCGGCGCCCAGGCCCCCGTGCCCCACCCCCAGGTCCAGGCACCGACTCCAGGGCTCGAGGGAAGGGAAGGAAGGAAGGCAGCAAGTTTGGCTTCCAAAAGGCTGGATTCCTTCTCCTAAAAAGCAGCTGCCACGCCATAGCCAGACCCTGCCCAGACCCTGGGCTCCAGGAGGCACGGGGTGGAGGGCGTCCCCGGGGCAGGGAGAGGGGGCGGGAGCCGAGGCCCAGGACCCGTGGAGGGCCGCCCGGCGCGCCCACACCCTGCCCCGCAGCTCGCGGGGGCCCGCGCGTGGAGAAGGCGTCTTTGTCATTGACGCCACGTGCGTGGTGATACGGTCCCAGTACGTGCCAACTCCGGGGAGCCAGCAGGGGCAGCTTTTGTCCGCTGAGGAGCCGCGCGTCGCGGGCGATGGCCCTAAGGAGCCCGAGCGCTGCTCCGCGGAGGCTGAGGGGCGCTCAGTCGTTCCCTCCGCCGGCCGGAAGCTGCCGCCGGGAGGTTGCTTTCCACAGCAGCCCAGTGGGGGGCACGCGTGCGAAGCCGAGGGCGGGAAGCCGCAGGACTCCTCCCCGGAGGAGCGAGCGACCCGCACTTCGGGCCTCTCGGCCGGCGAGGTCCACCTGCCTCGCGCCGCCGCGCGTCTCGGGAGCCCAGAGCGCGCAGCCTCAGGCCCGGCGGCTCCGGCGGGCGCGGGCGGCGAGCAGGTCTCGAAAGCGCCGGCGGCCCCACGGCGCGCGGGCGCGGGTTGGCCGCGGACTCCCGGGCCCTACGCCGGAGCCCTGCGGGAAGCCGTGTCCCGTATCCGCCGCCACACCGCCCCGGACTCGGACTCAGACGAAGGTGGGGAGCCCAGCGGCCGCAGCGGCTCCTCGGATGGAAGCGACGCCGAGGCCCCGGGCGCCTCCTGGCGGAAGGAGCGGACCCTGCCCCGGGAAGGCGGGAAGACGGCGGGGCTGGAGGGCAGCGCCCCGGCCATTCGGGGCGCCCTCGGCCGGCAGGGACAGGCCCCCGCTCCGGGGGAGAACGCCAAGGGGACCCCGCCGTGAGAGGCCCTCCTGGGCCCGCGCCCGCGACCCCCTGCCCTGTCTCCCCACGGACTTCCCTTCTTGTTCCCCACCTACTGCTGTTCCTATGTGAAATAGAAAGGAAAGGAGAGGAAAAGGAGCTCGGGTCCGGCTGTGCTTCGGAAGGGGCGCGGTCAGCGCTGGCCCGGAGGCCGCCGCCGCAGGGCGCACGGGGAGGTCCCGGCGGTG